ATTAAATTGCTATGTATTAGATGATTAAAATTTCATCTATGGTTATTATATGTATATGTTGGATTATGATTAGATATTCTTAAATTAAAAAAATCTAGTACTTATAGGTTAGTTATTTATTTTATAATATTAATAAAATAATATTGGTGGAGACATAGATAATTCATCAAAGCATAGTTATTGGATGTATAATTTAAATAATTAAATCATTATTCGGTTTTGGATTAATTATATTATTTCTTTAGTTATAATTTATTATCTAAATGATTAAATAATTGTTTAGGTTGGAATTAAGGTTTAAGAGATTTTTCTTTAAAAGAAATGGTAGATTGGTCTAGGAATGATTATTATTTAATCATTGTTAATGGTTTCTGGAATTAATAAACTTAATAATAGATGTGACTATTATATTGTATATAATTATTTATATATATGTATACCATGGTTTTAAAGTTAAAATTTTCTTAGGTTTGGTTTTGATTAGAGATAATCTGATTATTGGTTTTCAGAGGTTTGGTAGAGAGAACTTGCTCGTGGGTTTGACCTACTTATTTTTATCTTCAGATTATTAGAGATTCAAGTCTCAAGGTTGATGATCCGCAGCTGGAGAACTTATCTATTATTTCAGTTTATTTCATAGTAGGATATTATTTCTTCATTTCATGTTAACGTTTAATTATGGATTCTGGATAGTGACTTTTGGTTAAGGAGTCCTTGAGTTACGGGATTCCTAAGTTGTAACCATTGGAGAATTATTAATGGATTACCAATAGGCCTGTGGCCTAGCGGTACCAAGCCCCTACTTCTCAAAGGGAGATCAGGGATTCGAGCCTTAGTGGAGGCATGTGTGTGTGAGTATTAACTAAAAAAAAAAAATTATTAATGGATTTATTATTTATTAGTTTTTCTTCAGCGTATTATTTATTATTTATTTTATTTTATAATCTGTATTTGTTTAAATAATTTAATTGTTTTGATATTTTCTGATTTTATGCGCGAATTTGATCAACCCATGTTCTGAAATTAGGAGGTATTACAAGAAAGGTTACTATTATTTACTAGCTAGATCTAAAAACCATTATATGAGTTTGCAAAATGAAGAATGGTTGTGGAATATAGTATAGATAAACAACCAAAAGAGGAGTGAATAAGTTCAACTTACTCTTTTTTTTTTTCTTAAATTAAATTACTTAAAGTGCAAGTAACGTAAGAAGTAGATTTAGAACGATACTGAATTTTTAAAGACGTGTTTGATCCTTAACAACACTTAAAGTATGGATTGAGCACACATGGCCAAAATGTGTCAAAGTTAAGTATTTCATCTCTGAACAAAAGTGTGCGTGAGGTATTTCTAGTTTGTCAATGTGATTCTTGGTTTAGACTCAGTTCACCAAGTTCCTTAGAAAATAATATTTTCACCAGCTAAGTAGTGTTTCATGTCCAAAAGACACTAATATTGATGCAGAGAACTTTACCAATTGTACCATCTCTTTTTTTTCCTTAAAATTTTGAAATAAATAGGGTATTGTTAGAAACTGTTTCAAAATTAACTTGATTCCTTTTGTTTGGTTATTCAAATTAATCTTTCAAAATATTAGTTCCTTATTTGATAATATGAACAAAAATTTGTCAAGTTGGTACCTAGAGGAAGACTTAAGTTTTTATTTTGCACAAGAGGTCTTGGGCTCAAATTACGGATGCGCGAATCATTGTTTCATATGTGACTGAGTTACACAATCAGTTACGTGATCAACTTGATATGATGAGCTGTTATAATTAATGACCTTGATAGAAGCCTTATTGGTTAAATACAACATTTAAGCCACCTATGAATTGGCCCACATAAATGGGCTAGAGGTCAGCCAATTCTAGGTGTGCGAAGACTTGAGAGCAATACAAAGGAAGTAAGAAGAGAGGGAATTTCTAATGGAACACCTATAGGCTCCATTTGAAATAAGGTAGAAAAAAAAAGAAATAAAAAATGAATGAAAAGAAAAATAATTTTCTAGCATGTATTTGGTTAGTATGAAAATTTATCAAAGAAAATTGTAAAAAAATATTAGTTTGTTAGTTTGGATAGCATGAAAATAAAAATAAAATGATTATACATACTAAAACTACACTTTAAGAAAAAAATCAAATATTTCACCTATTATATATATATATATATATATATATATATATATATATCCATACGGAATTGACTTGCATTAATATACCAAATCAAAAGCTCAATATGGTCCTTCAATAAAACATTCATGTAACAAAGTTTTTCCATTAAAATTTAAATAGTAGAAGAACTACTTGGGAGAGTTGTCGAAGTAAAAACAAGTAACGCATCTCAGAAGGATAAATCAAAAAGGCTCTTGCTTTGACAGAATCAGCATTCAAGAACTCAAATGCATTCATGCGGCTAGGGATATCAAGCTCTTCAACATCCATCACAGCTTTGTAAAGTTCTAAAACATTCACCTTCGACATTGTCGGACTCATCAGCTTTCGATCAGAGAACATAAAAAGATTCGTTTATATAAAGAGAGAGGTATATGAGTATATATATATATATATATATATATATATATCATACACGATTTCTTTCGTTCCAAATATATACCTAGTATCCAATATATTTGGAATGAAAGAAATTGTTAAAATAGCATCCCGAATTATAAAAAATTCTGCTTTTAGTATGATTTGGGATTATGAGTAGCTAGAATTACAATATAGAACAGATAATTAAAAAAAAATAAAAATTCTATTTATATAATTTGCGTTGCCAGAGAAACGTTGAGAGAGAACTTACCTTTGGAGAGAATTTTGTAACGATTAAACTACTGGGTAAAATAGGAACTGCAAATAAAGAAGAGATTCTTTCACGCGAAAATAAAATTTTCGAGTGTTTTTTTGGGAAATTTTTTTGGAGGAAAGTACTCCACGCGGGAAACTAAATTTTTCATTACGATTCTCTTTCTATCTATCCAAACTTTAAAAAAGTTTCTAAATTTTCCCTTTCTTTTCTTTTCTAACTGTTTCTGCCTAATCAAACAAAGCCACAAGGTTTCAAACAACCAAGTCAAGAATCCAATGAAGTTTTTGGAGATGAACCAAGATTTCGGTACCTATGACTTCGACAAAACCCAGATTCCAATGATGATTTCAGAAATCGAAATTGAAATTTCCACCATTTTTTTGGTGACTAAAATGTAGGCATACCAAATTGGTAATATTTCTAACTTATAGTTTTTATATTCATAATTTCCATAATACATGATTCGAAAAAGTACGTTTTTTAGAATTATTTTTAATTATTATTTTTTTTCCCTAATTGATACTCACACACACTTGTCTCTTCCAAGACTCGAATTATTTTTTATTATTATTTTTTTTCCCTAGTTGATACTCACACACACTTGTCTCTTCTAAGACTCGAACCTCTAACTTCTCTTTGGGAGGTAAGAGGCTGATACCCGCTAGATCACTTGTAATTATTTTTAATTTGAAATTATATTTTGAAGCTTATAATTTAATTTCTCAAATTAGATTTTCTTATGGGTATGGGTTTATAAAGAGTGCCATTCCATAAACATACAAATTCTTAAATTCGGCTTAGTTAAATAGTGGAGACAGTGTTGTCACTTAATTTTCTGATTACATCTAGGAAGGATTTCAACTATCTTCGAAAAGCAATTACCCCCTTTAAGCCTTCATTTATATATATTACAATTTATGATTTAATTTTAATTATATTTTCAAAATATTATTATTTATTCAAGTAATTGTTACAACATAAGAGTTATAGTGTTCTGAGGTGTGTAGGTACCTGATATTCAAGTGGGTTCAAAATCATAATAAAGTATATTTTAATTATTATGATGCTAATTCCATTATATTTTAATTATAATATATTTTAATTGTTTAATTTTAATTATATTTGAGGTAGATTGAGAGAGGTGGAAGCCCATGCAAATTCGAGAGAGAGATAGAAAGAGGATGGCAATGTACAAGAACACCATTGACTCCCTTGATGAAGGTGTGAAGTGTGCAGAAATCTAGATTTGATAGAGAGCCCAAAGCTCTCTCCATGTCGAAGGTCTTTCCTCTCTTTTTTTGTCTACCCTTTCGTGGCCCTAGATCACATCTTTTTATAGGCCAAGTGAGGGTGGGGGATGTCATTGATGACATCGCGTGTGGGTCCATTAATAAAATAATTAAAAGAGATTAATTTTTCAAATAATTATAAAGCGATATTAAATAAGATGAGGTTAAATGCTCGGGAGTTAAAATGATATTTATTTCTCTACAAGTTAGGCTAAGTGTCTACTCGACGAATCCTGAACTTCAACCACCAAACCAAAACCTTCTTAGATCTTAGGTAATTCTGAGTCCTGCTCCTAACTCAGGTCTTCGTTCTTCTGTTCGAAGTATGCTAATGCCATGATAATTTTGACCATTAACCAGGTTATATGGACCATCGTTACTGATGTATCGTAACTCGTTGACTGCTTGACCGAGTGGTGTGAGCCATTGTTGATGATATAACATTTGTCATGTAGACTCCAGGGTATGACACCCACAAGGTGTATGAATTATATATTTCATTTTTTTTTTTTTTCTATAGTATACCTCCAACTTGTAAAGTTCAAAACCCATAAAAGTCTTCAACTATATGCATTGCTTAATAGCCGTACTAGATGACAAAGTCACAAGCATCTGCAATTCTATATTATTTTTAACCATCAAAGTACTCTTCCCCAAGTCAATTGAAAACAAGCATATAAAACTATTGGAATTCAATAAATTTTATTAATACAGTGGGTGCAAGAGTTGCTGAAGTAAATATAATCCTGGTTGAAGTATATTAACATGTCTCCACTAGTATAATTAACATGTATAAAATTTTGCAGATGCAGTTCACCAAAACCTCTTATTTCTTTCAGAAGATGCTAATTCCATAGATCTTTGCGGTGAATTAGTCCCAAACATTGGCTAAGCCTACTTCATCATTTGTGAAGGCGATACTTAGGAATAGCCACCAAATGGTTGGCCCTAGTAGTTACATGACCAAACAATTCAGTCATGTCCAGTTCATTTGGCAATATGTTATTTGGAAGTTCCCAATCAAAGCAATGCACCAATTGTGCTAGTAGTAGCCGGACCACTATGAGACCCAATTGCATCCCCGGACAATGTCTTCGGCCCGAGCCAAATGGGAGAAGTTGGTAGTCTTGCCCCTTAACATCTATACTACTTCCAACAAACCTCTCCGGGAAAAACTTCTCAGGATCAGTCCATGCATTGGGGTCTTGCCCGATTGCCCATACGTTTATGGTGATTCGAGACTTCTTGGGTATGTGAAAACCGTTAACCGTGCAGTCTTCCATGGACTCGTGAGGTAGCAGTAATGGTGCAACTGGATGGAGCCTGAAGGTTTCCTTCAGCACCATGTCCAAGTACTCTAAGTTCTCCAGGTCTGATTCCTCCACCATCCTATCCATTCCCACCACTTCGTCCAACTCTTTTTGGAGTTTTTTCATCACTGGCGGATCCCTTAAGAGTTCGGAGAGTCCCCACTCTATTGTTGTTGTTGGAGTGTCCATTCCGGCTACAAGCATGTCCTGCAAAGAAACCACAGATAAAATCTTGTAAACCAAAAAAAATAAAAAAAGTAAAATCATTAACCAACATGATATCAACAAAGTCCTTGGTTTGGCCTTTACAGTAAATCATTCTAAAATTGGTATAATGTTGAATCAACTTACCAACATAATGGCTTTGACTCGGGAACGATCAATAGGATACTCAGCATCTTCAGATCCCATGTAGGCCAACAAGATATCCACAAAATCCTTGGTTTTACCTTGGTCCCTAGCTTGAGCATGCTCATCAATGATCTTCTCAAAAAAGGCATCGTAGACCTTGTTTTGAGCCTTCATGCGGGGTTTCAGTCCCTGAAGATCAAGTGCCCCAACATAGGGGAAGTAATCTGCAATGTTGGGAGTAGATGACACGTCCATGCCCTCTTGAATCATAGATTGGAACCCCTTCTCATCGAAGTCCTCATCCGTGTACCTCTTCCCAAACACCATCCGACAAGTCATTTCCACACTCATGGACGACACTTTGGCGCTAACATCAACAGCACCACCATCCACCTGTTTGAGTGATTGGATCAAAAGTCCAACCTCTTCCTCTCTCATAGACTTGAATGAATTTATTTTAGCATTGCTAAACAACTCCAAGGCGCACAGTTTGCGCATGCTACGCCAAGCAGGGCCATACTCACCAAAAAGCAAGCCCTTTTGCTCGAAAGCCACGTACTTAACAGCCTGAATAACTGGCCTACTAGCAAAAACATGGTCATGGGTCTTGAGGAACTGCTTGGCTGCTTCTGGGGATGAGATGACGATGTTTGGGACGAAGCCAAAGCGCATGTACATGATAGGACCATGTTTTTTGGCTAGCTGATGAAGGTCTCGGTGAGGGAACCTCCCTAACATATGAAGGTGTCCCAAAATTGGGAGGCCTCTTGGACCTGGAGGTAGTCTCCTCCCATTCTTTTTCTTCCTAATTGTTGCTTGCAGAATATAAGCAGCTAGTGCAAACAATGCAAGCATTGTCCAAGTTGAGGCCATGGCCAACATTATTAATTTGGTCGAATAACACTTGCTTGTATATACTATATATAAGCCCCTAGCTCTTGTGCCTAAATGGTGGATCTATCTAGGTAGGTTCCGAAGTGAAAACTAGGAGAAAAGTACAAAGAGAAACAGATTGACGTGGTCGAGGTTCTATGCCCACTTGATAATTTAATTGTTCTAATAACAATTACAGAGGATTACAAAATTCAATCCAACCGCCAGCATAAAAAAACGGTGGTTGTTAACAACCAGAAAAGGCGCACAAACATAGGAAGTTAAAAAATTTCAATCCAACTACAAGACAAAAGGACGGTCGTTTTTATTCAAGTCACAATGAGAGCCGGATAGCGGACACGGCAATATATATGAACTTCGGCTAGGTCGTCACGTTCACAAACAAACACAAGTACTTGGAGCACTGACCAAACATAACTACGTGTTCCCAATCAAACATTGAGGAAGGAGTTCAATAATGTTTTTCTTTTTTGTTTTTGGTCTCTAAGAAAATTATGTTATTCTTTTTTGAAAGCTGTGTGTTTTGGACTCTCTTCAATTTTTTACTCAAAAAATCTCTAGTTTATACAGTATCAACACAGCTTAATGTAGGGTCACACAATCCAAATCGAATTTTGTTGACAAAAAATGGAACCAATCCGATTCCAACTTTTCACAAAGAGTAATGCTTATAAGAAGACCCTGTTATGAGAAGAGTTAAGAGCTCGCCCTATATAGACATTGAATTGAAATATGCATTAAATAATTGTAATGTCTGAGATTTTTTTTGAAATTTTCGGTATTTTATTTATTTTGTTTTCCATGTATTGTTTTACGCGCCATGTGAAACTCGATTATTTTTATTGCATGTGTTTATTTATTAATGTGGGACATTGGGGTGTTTTATGTATATGTGTGTATATTTATATATGTGGGTAGTGGAGATGGAGATATTTATGTGTCATGTGTGGGATAGTTTAATGAAGGAGGGTTATTTTGGTACATTGGCAAGTCAAATGGAAGACTCCTTTGTGAGTTATGCGGTGTGTAAGCTGTTAGTTAATTTAATTGTGATTAACTCCTTTAAATGACCTAGATGAAATTAATAGGTCAACTTGCCCAATTTTTATGATTGATTAAATTACCTAAGCAATATGATTAATTAAACATCCATAATCACAAAGATAAATACTGAAAAGTAAAGCAAGTAGAGTTAGAGAGATGGCACTAGGATTTTTAGCGAGGAAACCCGAACCGGTAGAATAGACTAATTGTTGTGGAAAAAACCTTGTGGACTGTGCAGTCCAAAGTAAACCAATCAACTATGTTTGAAACAAACTATAATGGATTTTGACTCAGGCTCACACCTTATCGTTCTACTAAAAATCAATTGTTGATAATCTTTTAACTTTACGACGTCCCGTCCAATAGTTCTTGACTCTAGGCTTACTCTTGATTCTGTAGAAGGATTGCTAATAAATTAAACAATACTTCTCGAATGCTTTGACCCTTTCAAAGTGTAATTGCTTCACCCATTTTCTTTAAGATCTGAACTTTATGGTAGAAGAAATAGATTTGCTTCTCAAAATCTCTAAATCTTCAATTTCGATGAGATAAAGAACAACACAATTAAATCACTCATGTATATATGTTCTCAAAATAAAATCAGAAAAATCAGATTTGATTTCCTGAATAATATCTCTCAAAAGGTTTTCTTAAAATAATAATTTTTTGTTCCTTAGAGTCATACCTTAATTTTGAATGAAAGAGGCATTATATAGAAGTTTGGAAGATCTAAGAATACTTGTAAAAAAAGTGAAATTCTGAAGATCTAAGAATACTGGACCAAAAAGGAATCAAAACATATCAGGAAACTAAAGTTACCTAAGTAGATCTAAAGCCTTGAACCGGTAAAGAGATTGGTTACCTATTCCCAAAGGATAGTGAAGAATCCTTCGAGAACAGCAGCTGGCGACCAGTACTAGATTTGGCTATCGGTTCCCAATGGACAGAAGTGAAAACTTCTATTTGGGTACCTGTTTCTTGATTTGGCTACCAGTTCGAACTAGGCAGAATGTAAACTTCCTAAAAATTTCAAACTTCTAGAACTTCCTAAGTGTTCTCACACACTCATATACCTTACTAAAGCATTGTTCTCATAAACCCTACGTCAATCATAAGGATTTCCTATAATGTGCAAGACTATCATACTAGAAGCATGTACACAATATATATTAAACCCCAAAGGATTATAAAACACTTAAAATATAAACATACTACCACCGCTACCTCAATAGAGAATTGAATCTCTATAATCCAAGCAACCAAGCACTAAATGGAAAACAAGCTTAGGGTTAATGAAGAGGAGAATGAGAGGAAACTTTTACTAGTTAAGGTTCTTAGTCTAAGACAAATGGAAGGGCACCAAAATTGAAGAAGAAAGCTATTAACCAAGCTTTTCTCCAATGGTGGCTAGGTTAGAACTTTGAAGAATTAAGGAAAATGAAGAAGATAAGTGAAAAATGGTGAGTGGAAGGGCTAGAGATCCTCCACTCACTATGTGCTCTTACACTACCTCTTACACACACACTTGCAAGACTAAATCTTAATCCTACACTTGTCACAAATCAAAGGCTCTATCCTTTGGCTTAATCTCAAGCCTACACTTGTCAATAATCAATGGCTACATGTGCACCAATCTAAGGCCAACACATGGATGAATCTCCACCCACCAAATGTCAAGAAGTCATGGTGCCAAGTCTCTTTACCTAAATGCCAACAAATGGCTCCATGAGAGTGTGACACTTGTCACACTTTCCAAAAATTACAAAATGGTCCTTTTTCAAAATATCCTCCAAAATAAATTGCAAAAAGGTCCCCAAAACGAAAAATAATTATTTTACATAATTACACTAAAACTCCAAAAGTTATAAATAATTACACTAAAGTATGCATTCATGCCCTTTACAAGAAAAGTACTAATCTAGCATGCTTTTCAAGAAAAGTAAAAATACCAATGTCATGGAAATCAAATATCATGAATGCATGCAAAATCGGAATCAAATCTGAGCACAACAAGTGAGGTTATGCATGGAAAAATGAAAAATGACTAAAAGACGAAATAAGGAAAAGACAAAATAGGAAAAAGACGAAAAAATAAAATTGCCAAAAATGGAAAAGGAGGAAAATGACCGGGTCATTACAACCTACCCTCCTTAAAAGGATTTCGTCCCTGAAATCGAGTCGTACTTGAAAGGGAGAACAAATGGGGATACCGAGAGCAAACTTCCTGTTCGAGCTCCCAGGTAGCCTCCTCAACGTCGTGATGTCTCCACAAGACCTTAACCAATGGAATGGTCTTGGTCCGCAAAACCTGCTCCCGTGAATCAAGAATCTGGACCAGACCCTCCTTGTAGGTCACGTCCTCATCAACAACAACATTTGTCCACCGTAAAACATGAGATGGATCCGGCTCGTACTTCCTCAACATAGATACATGAAAGACGTCGTGAACCCTATCCAGGTCTGGCAGTAATGCCAAACGATAAGCAACTTCATCGACGCGCTCCAAAATCTGAAATGGCCCAATGAACCTAGGAGACAACTTGCCTGTCTGTCTAAATCTCAGAAGTCCCTTCCGTGGAGAAATCTTGAGAAAGACATGGTCCCCTACCTCAAAAGACAAGGATCTTCTCCTCTTATCAGCATAACTCTTCTGTCTGCTCTAAGTTATAGCCAACCGTTGCCGAATCAACTTAATCTTCTCTGTAGTCTCAAAGACAATATCGGGACCTAAGGCAACTGTATCACCTACCTCGGTCCAACAAATTGGAGATCTGCAAGGTCTACCATACAATGCCTCAAAAGGTGACATGCCAATACTGGTCTGGTAACTGTTGTTATAGGCAAACTCAACCAAGGGTAAGTAGTCTTCCCAACTACCTCCAAAATCCAAAATGCAAGCCCGTAGCATATCCTCCAATATCTGAATGGTACGCTCTGACTGACCATCAGTTTGAGGATGGAATGCCGTGCTGAAATGAAGCGCCGTGTCAAGAGCCTCCTGAAAACTCTACCAAAAGTGAGACGTGAACTTGGGATCCCTATTTGAAACAATGGATACCAGAAGCCCGTGAAGCTTGACAATCTGCCCCACATACAGTCCACTAAGCCTCTCTGCATCATCTGTCACTGCCATAGGCAAAAAGTGAGCCGTCTTAGTTAATCTATCAATAATGACCCAAGCGACATCATTCCTTGCCTTGGATCTCGGAAGTCCCGTCACGAAATCCATAATGATGTGATCCCACTTCCACTCTGCCACTGGTAGTGGTTGCAACAAACCTGCCGGTCTTTGATGCTCTGCCTTCACTTACTGACAAGTAAGGCATTTAGCCACGAACTGAGAAACATCTTGTTTCATACCCTTCCACCAAAACTGTCTCCGCAAATTGTGATACATCTTCGTACCACCTGGATGAACTGCGAGTCGAGAATGGTAAAAATCCTGAAGAACATCATCACGACAAGACAAAGGGACAAACATCCTCCCTCTGTACCTGAGACCACTGTCTGAATGTAAGGTCCAAGCCGCCTGAAATCTGATCGTGGATGGACTTTATCTCCCCATCCTCTTGTTGTACCTCAATAACTCTACTAACAAGAGCCGGTTGAGCCACAAGGCTAAACAAAATAGCAGGTGAAACATCCTCATACAACTGCAAACCAAGATCTGCAAGCTCTTCTAGTATCTTCCATCTGTGAATGGAAATGCTAGCAAGAGTACCCCGTGACTTCCTACTCAATGCATCAGCCACCACGTTGGCCTTCCCCGGATGATTATATAACACAAAGTCATAGTCCTCCATGAACTCAACCCATCTGCACTGTCTCAAATTTAAATCCTTCTGAAAGAAGAGATATTTGAGACTCTTGTAATCGGAGAAAACTTCGAACTTCTCCCCATACAAATAATGTCTCCACCCCTTTAGGGCAAAGAT